TGTGCCTGTGGGACCGGCGGCGCCTCCTCGGCAGCTGGAACCGAGTGACCGCGCTCTGCTACTTGCCTTGCGTGTTGTGCCCCCGCCTTCCACAGGAATCAAAACCAAAACAGAAAAAACCCGGGGATACGTATTTCTGAAATTCACCTCTGGGCCATGGTTCTCTGTCTCTGAGGGTTTAGGCTTAGTGTGTATACTTCTGCTTTCGGTGTTTCTCTTTTTTTTTTTCCCCCTCGTTGCAGTTCCTTTCTTTTTAAGCTTAGTTCAGAACGAGATGTGAGAGAGAAGGTGGAAGGGAGCGCCTCAATTACTGAGGGAAAATCCCCGTTTTAAATTCTCAGAGTGAAATGAAAAATGCAACTGTTGTGACCAGAAGGGAGGGTTGAGGTGATTTCTTAAAAAGGAAGAGAGAAAAAGAAGCTATTTTTTTTTTTTGGTGGTGGGATTGTTTTGGGTTTTTTTTGTTTGTTTGTTTTTTTTTTTTTTTTTTTTGGTGGTTGTTGTTTTTTTACTTCTAGTGTTCTGGGGTATTTTTAAGCATTTAAGTTACTGAAGTAACAGTTATATTATTTGAGCAGGGATCTGCTCAGTGCAGTTTTTATTGCACAAATACAGTATCATAAGAAGCAGTCTTAAACCTATCATGATCTGTACTTAAGAGACTTTCTGATGCTGCTTGCTGAAAGACAGAAAATTTTGATTCTTTATTACGGGTGCAACTTGTGCAGTTTGTAATTCACCTTTCTGTAGGTGGGCTTGGAAGGAACAGACATTTGCCAGTGATGTGAGGTCTGAATTTCACTGAGCTCTGATATTGTTACAGTGCCGTGATTCAAGGACCAATAAGATTTCCCTGAAGGTGCAGAGAGCCCTGCCCAGTGCTCTGTCACTGCAGCCCAGGAATCATGCCCATGTTCTTAGTCTCAATGCAGCTTGTCCAGGGCCTGGGCTGAGGAATTGGCCTTCACCAAATCAGCCTGACTTCATCTGGAGTGTAGGAAAACATGTTATTTTGTGTTCTGGTGTACAGAGCTGCCTGCTGGATGAAAAGGGGAGACCATGATAGCAGCGCTGGTTTCTTTCCCCATGGCTCTGGGGTGATTTTACCCCCGATGGGCTGGGCTGGCTGAAGCAGGCAGTCCCATGGAGGCAGGGTGTGGTGAGTGAACTCTTGGATATGCTCAGCTGACTGGACTTATTTAGGACTAGACAGGGCAAGGACAGTGTGCTGAAAGGAGCAGCATTGCTGATCCCTAGTTGGATAATTTCCCTCAATTCCTGGTCCTGCTGCTGTGGGATTTTTGCTGTTGATTTGGACAGGAGTGGGCCAGTTATCAACATCCTTGCTGCAAGCCTTAGCTATTAGAAAAGCATGACCACAGTGCTGTCTGTCTGGTGGCCTTGGCTGCCCTCTCTTATCACCTTGGCTGTTCTGTTGCTCTGCTTTGTGTACACTTTATGTGGGGAGGAAGAATACAGGTACCAGGCTGTAGTGAGCAGCCTGGCTGAGAGGTGAGCTTGATTCTGCTTTGCCCTTTGAAACCTCGTGACTGGACTTCTGTTCCATGTGGCCAACTCCTCTCCTTATCAGCAGCTGCTGTTGTGTGATAGTGGTGGAAAAATGATGGAGCCTGCTTGCTCTTTTCATAAGAAGTTGCTTTGCTAATGTAAATCTCTCACAGCTTTATACTTGAGCTCTTTTCAGTGTGGCAGGCAGATGGAATTCTTTGTCCCAGAAGAGCTACTAGGAGGTTGTGGTGGTTCACAGTTGATAATGTTATTCTGCCCGTGGTCTGTGAGGTTCTTCTTAACTGTTCCCCAGCTTTTTCAAAAATCATGTAGAAATTTTTCTGTGCTGGCGAATGTGACTGTTCTTGACCTCAGCTCTACTGACATATAGTGGTGTTACAGAGGAAAAGAATGGAGCAAAATTATTCAGAGAAAATTCTTCTCTTGGCAGTTCAGAGAAATGAGTAGCTGGAGGGAAGAGAGGACATTTCCAGAGAAGAGTTTGGAATGTGAAGGTCGTTTGCTGGAACCTCTACTTAGAATTTTTTGGCCCAGACTTTGCCATCTTGGTGCAAAGCTGCTCCTTCCAGATCTGTGTGTTTATTTACTGTGATGCCTCTCGTGCAGAAGTGCATACAGCAATCACAAAAGACAGTCCCAGCTCAGGCAATATCTGTCAGCAGGGGTGAATCAAAGGGAAGGTTGTTGGCTGAGGATGGGATGATTCCTTTGCCCCTTAGAGAACCTGGGAAGAGTGTCAGCCTCTGAAGAAAGAGAAAGAAGAGCCTATGACTGACAGTCTCAAGCAAGTCTCTGAAGAAGGTGCTACTGAACTCTGAAAGCTCAGCAGATGACACAGGGCTGTGCTGTTGCTTTCCAGCTGGTGACTCACTCAGAACCTCTAAGGGAAAATACCTTCTGAGCCCTGTCATGGGGCTGTCAGTTTGCACCACGCAAGTCAGGGCTGGAGTCAAACAGGGAGAATTTTTTAAAAATAAATCCTGGATTAGCTATAACACACAGACTGCTCGAGTGCTGTCCCTGGCAGCATGCGTCTTTAAGATGTTGGCTGTCAGAGATTTATAATTTCTGCATGTGTGGGTTGTCTGTGATCTCTCTTTTGGGGATTGTCACAAGGGGTGATTGGACCCTGTGTTTGTATTCAGCTTGTAGCTACTGAAGTACCTTAACAGTCAGGGTTCTACTTTAGGGTGGGAAGAGAGTTGCTCAAAAATAGAATTGTTCTGGTGTCTTGCAGAGGGTTAGAAAAAGAATGCTGCATGTTGGTTTTTGCCAGTGTTGGGTTTGAAAGGTAACGACTGTACAGTCCCTTTAGGTGGGCGTATGTGAGGCTCTCCCTGCTCTCAGACTTCAGAGCTGGTAACAGCAGTGGGGTTTTAGGAGGGACCTTCATCTTTGCAGTATGAAATCAAATTACTATCACTTCTTGATCTTGGGACCAAGAATAAATATCCTGGTAAAGTAGGGGTTTTGTCTCTATCTGATGATGCCATGTATTGCTGTTGAGTCTTGATTTCTTCTGGGAATCTGCTGAAGCTCCAAGAATGACAAAATTTAATCCCACATAGCACCATTTGAAGGTGCTTGTTACTCTGATATCAAAGTGTGGTTTTGTACTGACCACCCTAATGGCTGTGTCCAGACTTAGGGCAGGTGGCATTTCATTGTCATACAATCTTTGACATGGTGATAATTGGCTGTAGCAAGCAGGAAGCTGTTGTGCAGGGGCTTAATGTCAAGGATGTGTTTTTTAGCTGTGACTCACAACTGATTTAATATTGCTTTTTTCCTCTGCTGTGGTTGTCTTGCTCTGTTTGATCTGGACCAGAAGGAGGACAGGATGTTCCAGTCCATGATGTCTGTGATGACATTCTCTGTGTCTGACAACATCACACATTCGACTGCGCTGGTGACAGCGCCGGATAATGTGACAACTCTGTCCCCAATGACAATGCACGTGACCAACGACACCAACATCACAGTGCCACACAAGTGCCTGCTGCTGCTCTATGAAGACATTGGGAAGTCCAGGTGAGCTGAAGGAAATGGTCTGACCCCAGACCAAGGGAAAGAGCTTTGTTTGTTTCTCAGTTTGCTTGAGAAGGGATCAGGGCTGGTGTTTTCCTTTCTAGAGGCTGAAGATCAGGGATAACACCTGTTCTATTTACTTTTTGCAGAGTCCGCTACTGGGATCTTCTGCTCCTGGTTCCCAATGTGCTTTTCTTTATGTTTCTCCTCTGGAAGCTGCCCTCTGCCAGGGCCAAAATCCGGGTCACTTCCAGCCCAATCTTCACGACATTCTACATTCTAGTGAGTACCACTACAACCTTTGAACTAATGAGCAATTTTTATTACCACTCTTCAGCAATACCACTGAACTAGTGGAGAGAGCCTAGACCAGCTCTTGCAGGGATAAAATTTGCTTTCCCTGCTTTCAATCTGCTAGTTGAAGGTGTACTACAAGAAGTAGACATTTTTTTCACTGATTTAATTCAGCTTTTAATAGGTTCTGTGGCCAGATCTGCTGGATTTTGTTCTCCTGTGGTGATTTAACTTTTTCCTCTCCCTTTTTTCTTCTTTTCTTACTTTGATGTCTTGGAATGTATCTTATGCTTTCTTTGCTCCTTGCAGTAAGTAGCACGGGACACAAACCCCGCTTTCCATTGAGGTAGTGAAAGGAGAATAATTAGTGTCAAATTGTTGAAAAGCTTGGTCATCTGCTAGGGAAAATGGTTATGTGACAGTTCTGGTTAGTCTGGGAATGTAGAAACCCAACCCTCTTAGTTTCTTTCACATCATGTCAAAGTGGCCTTGACTTGATATTCTTTATAGTTCCTTAGGTGGAAACAGAATATTCAGTACAGTTACAGTTCACAAACATCAAAGATCTTGCTGTTCTCCTCTCATCAGTCCTGTGATGCCCTGTGATACTGCTTACAGGACATTATAAATGCAGCTGACGACCTGCCTGAATTTGTTTAAAAATACCATTCAGAAGCTTTTTTATATTCTGACTTGCCCTAGTAGCCTCACCTGAATCTTTGTTAGCCCTTTCAAGCCAGGAGTTGGGGTTTTGGGCTTCTGCACAGTTTTGAATAACCAGGTTTACACACAAATGTTTCAACCTTTAAAAAATATTATCATCCCTTTCTAGTCTAGATTTAAACCTTCCTACATGTTTCCAGTAATGCACATGGTCTGTAGAGGTTTGTGCCAAAGGCTTTGCAAAACAAAACTCTTGATAAATCAAAGGGAGGAAAGTGAATTGACTTCATGCTCTGGATGGCAACTCAGCCCCACACAGCTGCTCTCTCACTCCCCCTCACTGGAACGGGAGAGAATCAGAAGAATAAAAGTGAGAAAACTTGTGGTTGGAGATAAAGACAGTTTAATAAGCCAAAGCAAAAGCTGTGCACACAGACAAAGCAAAGCAAGGCATTCACTTATCACTTTCCATGGGCAGGCAGGTGTTTTGCTGTTTCCAGGAAAGCAGGGTTCCATCACATGTAATGGTTACTGGGGAAGACAAACACCATTGCTCTGAAAGTCTTCTCCTTCCTCCTTCCGTCTTTATGTGCTGAGCATGATGCCATATGGGATATTCCTTGGGCCAGCTGGGGTCAGCTGTCCCCTCTTAACTTGTGCACCTCCAGCCAACTCATTGCTGGAGTGGGATGAGAGGCAAAAAATGTCTTACATTCTGTGTAAGTGCACTGCAGCAGGAATGAAAACATTTGTGTTATCAACACAGTTTCCAGCATAAAAATCCTAAACACAGCCTCATACCAGCTGCTGTGAAGGAAATTTCCTCTATCCCAGCCAAATCCAGTACACAGTGTTAGAGGAAAATGCTTTAACTCAGTTTCATACTCATTTCTTGAGTATGTTATTGGGAAATGAGGATGGAAGTGTGTTCTGTGAGGTCTTCCTTTAAATTGACTGTTTGTCGTGTTCTAGAAGAATGCTTTCTGTGGAGTTGGTGATTAATGTGGAGGTAACAGATTGGGAAGAGTCTCTGACTGCTTAGAGAGGAAACAAAAAGATGTGTGTTCCTCTCCAGTGAGCTGTTGCAGCTCTACAACGCCATTATATGTAGGGACCCATCTTTTTTGTCAGTGTTTTGTCATGGAGTTTTCCACCCCAGGAGGGATTGTTCTATTCTTCTTTCTTGCCATTACTGTCTCTTCATCCTATAAGACAGAGAAATCCATCTGTGGGTCGCTTTTTGGTCATTTCCATTCTGCAACTACTTTGGAATCAGCTTGGACTCTTAGTTCTCTGATACCTTTGGCTGTTTCCTACCTTCACCATTAGGATCAGAGTGACATTTAGAGAATTTTCTCTGGAAAACTCCACTTTCTTAGAGTGTAAGTCTGCACAGTGGAGTGTAGATACATCCAACTGAGCTCTTAATTGCATAGTATGGCTGTGACAGCACAGGGAAGCTGAGCCTCACTGAGCTGTCATGCTTCAATGGTATGTGAAGTGAGTTGGGGATCTCTGTGTTGCACTCTGCAGCAGGGCAAGATGTTTTAAAGCTGGTGGCTGCAGGTGACTTTTCCTCTGCATTCTTGAGCATTGTCAGTATGGAGTGAGAGAGCTGCAGGTTTAGTTTTGCCACAGTTGTGTAGTGTGGTAGTTGGTATTTAGTGGCTTCTGTTATCTGATATGATTGGTTTAGTCAGACATACCAACCATTTGGTTTTGTAATTCAGAGGTTTTGTAATGTTTTTGTCTGTCTGTTTCTTTTTCCCCTCCCCTGCCCCAGTGGAATGAAGGGAAGACTAAAGATACTGTTGTAAAGATTGGGTGAAGAACTCTTCAGAGCTTAATTGAGACAGTTGTTCCTTCCTAAATTCCAAGGCACTGCTCCTATCTAATGGGTCTGAGGAATCTTTTGCAGGAAATTAACTCTGGTCTGCTACAGGAAATTCTTAGTACACATTATCAGCCTGGAAAGCTGACCTGAATGTGGTGTTCCAAAAGGGTTTCTGATCACTACTGCATATGCACCTTTTGACATGAGCTCATTTTTGCTCTTTTTTTGCAGGTATTTGTGGTGGCTTTAGTTGGCATTGCCCGAGCTGTTGTCTCCATGACTGTGAGTGCCTCTGATGCTGCCATGGTTGCTGACAAGGTAGGTGCAACACTGACTTTAGAGGCTGTGCTTTGTAAACTTCTGATCACAGCAATCTGCTCTGGCTTCCCTCTTACGTGTGTACAAGAAGAATGTGCTTTTTTTGCAGTACTCTTAGGTATGTGTACTGTAGAATCCTGTTTTGATAGCTGGATCTAAATCATCACAACATCCAGGATGGTGAAACAATGGATTTCCTAAAATAGACACACAAATAGTGGTGGCAAAAGTTTCCTGTTACAGGGATTAAATAGGTCCCTTTTGCAAGAGGTGAACATTCAGATACCTTTAATGGATAGGCAAGACCTGGCCTTTGTTACTCTTGCAGTATTCCAGTGGCTCTTTGAAAATGTTAAAGTTTTTGTATTGAATGCAAATAAAACCAACTTCCCCTTTGAGACTGACACCTGAATGTCCTTGCAACCACTCTGAGCACAGGGTGAACCTTTAGCAATGAAGAAATATCTTTGTATGTGCTGTTCCTTTGCAATTATTTGACTTGTAGCAAAATATTACTTAAAACAAAAAGCTCTGCAGTGCTTGAGCTGTTAGAGAAAGAGGAGTCACCTACAGAGTGTAGGTCTTTGGGCATTATTCTCTGGGATCAGTGTTCAGAGTAAAGGGTTAATAAGCCAGAATCTGGGTGCTTGTTCTAGGTTTGGCACTGATTTATTGCATGACTCCCTGAAAAATTGCCTTACCTGGTTTTTATTGGTCTTGTTTCACCAAATAAAACATGAGGTTGCAACTGACAGGCTGGAACAGGGGGTGCTTTTTATTTGAATATGCTTTAGATGTAGGGACCAGTGGCTTTGGAAGAGGGCAGAATAGAGGGTTTGTTCAGGCAGATCTACTGCTTTGAGAACTGGCCTTGTTTAGTATTTTACTTTTGAGGTCATCATGGGCTTGTGCTCTTTGGGAGCACAGCAGCAAGACCACATCTGAAACAAGTGACAAATCCTCAACTGAGGCAAACCATGGCCACTTCCTCTCTGCAGAGCTGCTATTGCTCCTTCCCTCACAACTGTTCTGTTCCACAGGCCTGGAACAAGCATGTGATCAGTACCCTACAAAGCATGAGAAGGGTTTGTGGAAATAACCAGCCTTTCAGAGGCTGCCATCCCCTGGAGTTTTGCTTTATTAACTTCAAACTGGTTCCTGGCTTCATCTAATCATGTTTATCTGGTCTGTTATCCTCAGATCCTGTGGGAGATCACAAGGTTCTTCCTTCTGGCCATTGAACTGAGTGTGGTGATCCTAGGCCTTGCCTTTGGTATGTGTCAGCAGTGCTTTGATTGTTTCCTGTTGCCTTTCCTTTCACAGAGGTTGCTTTTGTAAGTTTGTGGTGATGCTGTTTCTATACAGTGAAGAGCTATAGAATAAATACAAAGGGTAAATTGTGGAGATTTAGTTAGAAGTGGCTGAAGGCCTCATTATACTTACAGATCTATGGTTTGTGTGATTTAAGGGATTATATGTGCTTGGTTTGTCCTGCACTCATATGATGGAGTGTACAACTTAGGTAAGATTTTTATGCCAAGATCAACAGTCTGATCTTTGCTTCAAGCTCATTTTATTTATGATAGTCCTGTTGGGGGCCCTTCTGTCCCCTTCATTCCATCCTTAATTGGTTTGATCCATCCTGGTTGCATTCAAATGCTTTATCTTCAGTTTTTCAGTTATGCAAGTGAAAATGCCTCTCCCTGTGGATCAGAGGTGGAGGAAAGGGTGGGTGTCACTGTTGCACATGTCAGTGGGACATGTGAGCACTGCATTTTTCATCTTTTGAGGGCTCATAGAATAATTTCAATTGGAAGGAGCTTCTGGAAATTGCCTGCTTCAGTATATTCCAGTACAGATTTCTCTACTTCAGCCTCCCATCAACTCTTCTTCCTGAGAAGCAGCTTTATAACATCTCACTGTACTTGATGCTGGAGTAATTTTTTTTTTCTTTCTTGTAACCCCAGCAGAAGGACTTAGTTGTTTTCTCTTAGTGTGGACAAGAGGAAAGCAAGTTAAAATTTGTTGATTTTTGCCTGTGAAAGGCTCAACTCTCCAAACAGGATTTAGTTAGCTTTAACCTTCCCTTGAAGGCTTCTGGAAATAAAAGTGTTCTCCTTTATTGCTTCTGAAAGGAGCTGTTTTTAACTGGGATTACATCCTGAGTCACTTCCATTCCCCATAATTGCAGGTCACCTGGAGAGCAAGTCGAGTGTGAAACGTGTGCTGGCAATCACCACTGTGCTGTCTCTGGCATATTCTGTCACCCAGGTGAGTACACTGAAGCAGAATTTGAAAAAGAAGGAACTTTGCTTGAACTTAAGCAGTTAAGTGTGTGACTCCTATCTGAAAGTGGCAGCTCTGCTCTTTAAATGAGGTTTTGGAGGAAAACTGAATGCTTGTGGCAGTGTATAAGCAGATAGTATCTGCTTGTCTTCTTTGCTGCATAAACAGCTCAGGTAAGGTGAAGAAATGAGGTTTGGGTGGATTGCATTGTTTAGTGAATCTGAGAACAAGAGTGAGGTTTTCCACACCTGAGCCACAAGTTCTGGATCTGGCCTCAAGGGCCATGAAAACCATGTGCTTGCCAAGTAAGGGCATTGCAGTGCCATTGTCTGCTGAGTCTTTGAGAGCTGAGAGCTCCTGCTTCTCTTCAGATGAGCAGCTGGCTTGCTGGCTCAGTTTATTAGGCATGTCTTCATGTCCCTGAACAATGCAATCTGTGTCTGGGTTCATTCTCCTCCTCAGCATGTCAGTGGTCAGCCCATGTCTCTGTACTCAGGGCAGTGCCAGAATAACACACAGAGCTTTGTTCTGGGACCAGGCTCTTGGCTGCAGAGGCAGTGAGCTGATCATTACCACATGATAAAGCTGGAGGAGCCTCATAAAATATCAAGTGTTGGAGCTATATCTGGGTTCAGTAGTGCTTACAAGCACTTTGCTCTCCACTGTCTGTATGAGTAGCTCCTAAACAAGACAGTGTCCTTTCCCAAGCTAATTATATTCTGGGTGTTTCAGCAGAAAGGTCTACTTTAAAGATGGAAATGAAGCTCTTGGCCTATTTTAGACAGAAAAGTGCTTCCTCTGTCCACCTCAGTCTCTCTTCTGTAATGTCACTGGTGCCAGTTTCCTTCAGATGTAGATTCCTGTCACGCTTTCTCTCCTCACTGCTTGTCTTTAGTTTCTTCCTCTTCTGTGTGAGTGTAACTTGGTCTAAGCAAGACAGGGCTTGGTTGGGTTGGGGGTGGGGGGTAAGCCAGCTGCTTTCTGAACTTCTTTAAGCATAGTGTCCCTTGTCCAAATATGCATTTAAGTGAGGATACTGCTTGTAAGAGAATCATATTGGTGCCACTTCTCTCCTAGGGCACCCTGGAAATCCTGTACCCTGATGCCCACCTCTCAGCAGAGGACTTCAATATCTATGGCCATGGTGGGAGACACTTTTGGCTTGCCAGCTCCTGTTTCTTCTTCCTGGTAAGTACTGGGAATATGTTTCACACTCTGGTAACTTCTTTGTATTTTCTAATTGGAGCAAGGAGGATGATCTGAGTACAATAATGCCCTAATCCCCCTCCTGCAGCACAGTAGTGATGCTTCTCATGTGGTGGGGAAGCTGAAGCAGTAAAGGTGCAGTGGGAGTGCTGAAGCTGTATTCCAGCTGTATTCCAGCTCAGCTCAGATGTTCCTCCCTCCTGTGTTTCTCAGCTGTTTTGTGCTGATGGGGGGAGTTGTGGGGCTTTCATTCTGTAGTGTGTTTAATGTTAAGGGTGTGTGCCTCTGCCCTGAGACATGTAGGGAGTGCATGATACCACACACCATCCCGGCAAAGATGGTTGAGTTGCCAAGCAGCCATGGAACTGTTGGTTCTTTGTCTCAACAGGTGTATTCCTTGGTGGTGATTCTGCCAAAAACTCCTCTGAAAGACCGGATTTCTTTGCCCTGTAGGTAACTGTAGTGTTTTCCACAGCATGAGGATAAAGCATAGATGGGAGTAGAAGGTTCCTGTGTGTGTTTGTGCTGCAGTTGCATTCCACATCTCAGAGTTTAGATAACATGGCAAAGGACTAATCCCTAGAAAAATTAGTATGTTGTGTCTTTTGGAGAGCAGAGTAAGAGCAGTTATACTGCTACTTTAGTAGCTAAACAATTACATTAAAACAAGACCTGCTGCTCAGATAATGATACAGGTATCATGTAAGTATATAATCTTCTGAGAGCCTTAAGAAATGGCTTCTTAATAACAGCTTCCTTTGAAATGCACACATGATGTTAAAGTGTGTGCGCTAGTCATCCCCTGGGAAAGGAAGGCTAAGTGGGAGATGCTCAACAATTTTTATCTGGGCTTTTTTTTTTTTTTTTAAATAAATGCTTCTGTTTGTTTGGTTTTTGCTGTTGTTGCAGAATATCTGCAGCTCTTGAATAAAGAGAAGCTGTTATTAAGGTCTTTGTAACCTCTTATTAAGCTTATTATTGTTATTAAGTCTTCTCTAACTAGTGTTGGCATTGCTGTGTGGGTATCCTGAGGGAGGGGATATGGATGTCACATGTCACAGGTCCTGGGCCTGATCTGCCTGCTGTCCACCATACCCTGCTGCTCCTGTCAAGGTCTCCTGAGCAGTTTTCTTAGTGCTGTACATTGGAAGGGCACAGCTTCTGGTTCAGCTGGGTTGGTTTTGTTCAGTTTTCCTTGCAGTCAGTTATGTGACTGACACTGGTTCCAGATGCTTGCAAATTAAATCTTTGCATGTGTTGCTGTACGTTGCTCTCAAAACCCATCTTGTGTGTGCAGGAGGGTCTGGTTTAGTCCATTTTACCACCATCAGTCCTGCCAGCATGGTGGTAAAATGAAAAATAAGTCTTAATTCTTCAGCAGTTCTTAGAGGCAAGGTGGTGAGAAGCTTCTGTTGGATTTGGAATCTCCATCAAACAGATTTCCATGGATCTGGTGTTTGAGGTTGAGCTTCACGTGTGTCCATGTCTTTCCCACAGCCAGGAAGAGTTTTTATATCTATGCTGGCATTCTGGCACTGCTGAACCTGGTGCAGGGCCTGGGCAGTGCCCTCCTCTGTGTGGATATCATAGAAGGACTGTGGTATGTACACTGGGGGAGGAGGTCTGCAGCCCTGGATCTTGTGTTGTATTCGAGTGTCCTTTAACACTGCCTCTCCCAAGAAAACAAACCTATGCTGCGTTCCTAAGAAGGAATAAACCTTCTGGTGGTTCTGGTTTGTGCCAAATGATCTCTAAGTAATCAGGAAACTCCCCAGTGGAGAGGTTGTGGAGCTGTGTGTGCTGCAGTTGTCTTGATGTGGTGAGTGAGAGTAGTAGTGTGAATCCACTGATGACTGGTCATTAGTAGGTAATAAGAGAGGAAATTGTCTGTTTGTGAGAAATATGGAGACACCCTTATACCTGGAGTTTGGTTCTGCAGCGATCAGTGTCGCATCTGTGAGTCAAAATTGGGAGTACTGAGACTCTGCTCTTGGTCAGACCTTGGGTTTTGGCACAGTTCCCCTGAGGGTCCAGGAGCAGTGACACATGTTGATGACAATGATTGTAACTTTGCATCAGTTTAAATTTGTTTAGCACGATTTTCCTTGATCTTTGAACACTTTGGATGGAAATTGGATTCTTTGGGAGGATGTGAGGGGTGTTACCCAGCTGTATAGTGCTTGAGTGCTAAATTGCTTCATGTTCCCTTTTGTTCTTGACAGCTGTGTTGATGCTACCACGTTCCTTTACTTCAGCTTCTTTGCACCTCTCATCTATGTGGCATTCCTGAAAGGCTTCTTTGGGTGAGTAGCCAGGAACAGGAGTTTAGATGGGTATATATTGTCATTTAAGTGTTTTGCACTCAGATTCTCTCAATCTGTACGATAAAGACAGCAACTACAACACCAGTTAGAGAGCCAGTTTAATTTCTGCCCTTGAAGAATTTCTGTGACCCGTGGCTGCTCACTTCTGTGCAGGGCCCCCTTTGTGTGCAGAGCTGATGGCTGGATTCCTCTCACATTTCAGAGGATCACTTCTTCAGCATCAGCATCATTTGTAGTACAAAGTTTTTCTGCTGAAGCTGATAGCTGAATGCTTAATGAGGAATTGAGTCCTGGGGGCTTAAATGGCCTTCTGGGTTGGTTTTGGGGTGAATTTGTGGAAAGGATGAGGGAGTTCAGTCCCTCCTCAGCCGAGGGCTCTGCCATGGGCCCAGAGCTCGCTAGTGAGGTCCATTCTCAGGCCGGGGTCGCCGCCGTGTGGCCACACACGGGAACTGCACCTTGGTGGGAAAACGAGTGGTTTAGTGTGGGCTTTAGTGTTTGTTGGTCATTAGCGAGAAACAGCAGGCTTCAAAATAAGAAGATACAGTGCTTTTAAGATATAAAAATATACCTCTGCATCCCTTTGAAATTAGAAGGGAATTGTCTGGAGTTAAAGATGAAAACTACTGATCTACAAGTGTTTGTATTTTGGTTTTCATGAGGTGCACAGGTAGAACTTGAAGTGTACTCCTGTTCTGACTCATTTTTGTGTCAGCAAAAGCTCCTTTGAAGAGTGTTTGAGGTCTAAATGCACAACTTCTTAACACTGATGAGTTTCAGTTGAGGATAGGTATTTGTGATACCCCATTGGTAAAACATGCATCTTAAATCTTTCATCACTCCAGGTCTGAACCGAAGATCCTTTTCTCCTACAAGTGTCAGGTGGATGAACCTGAGGATGTGGATGTGCACCTACCCCACCCTTATGCTGTTGCCAAGAAGGAAGGGATGGATGCTGGGTTCTACTCAAGCACTCAGATTGACACCACAGCCTATCTGGATGATGTGGCCTCTATGCCATACCACGTGGGCAGCATCAACAGCATAGACAGTGACCGCTGGAAATCCATCAATGCCTGAGGCAGGGCACCTCAATCACATGAGGCCTCACTTCTTTCCTTCCAAACTTCCTGATACCACAGCTCTTAGGATGTTCACTGGAAATCTGTCCTTGGCTACCTGCTGTGGCTTTCCTCCTGTCCTTAGGATTTCCAACACCTATTGTGGAACTAAGTTGGCAGCCCAAACCCTTTTGGGAAGAACACTTTCTGTTGCTACATGAGAACATTGTAGAGTGGTTTTGTTCATAAACCTTTAAACACTGAACTTTCCTGATCCTCCATGTTCCAGATGTGAATATGACTCAGAAGATAGCCCTGGCTGGCACCTTTCTTTTCAGTGGCTGAAAGCACTTGTTTCTCACTTAGAGCAATGGTGTTTAGGGATGGTTTGACTGCTGTATTGTACATGTTTAGAAAGATTTTGGTGGTTGAAACCAAAGATGATCTTCCTGGGCTAAGCAGCATGGCTGCCTGCATCTTGCCAGAATGCAGCAGCACAGGTGGTGATAGTGTCTGATGAGGGAAGCTGGTCACTGGGGCTCACCCTTGGTTTCAGCTAACACTGTTGAAAATTGGGAGTTGGAGTTGCTAGTGGTTAAAAGGAATGTTCTCAGTGTACGGGGAAAAAGAGGTCTGAAGTGGAATGAAGTGTTCTCTGTGCCCAGAGAGCATTTGGGGAAGGCTGGTAGCCCACAGCATGGATGTGAAGTGACTGAACAGTAGGGAGACAGAAGGACAAACAGTGCTGCTGTCTAGCTGAGCTGAAGGAGCTGTGAAGCAGTCTCTGGAGGCTGTAGTGCTGTGCATTTGAGCTCACAGGAAAATCTAACTAACAGCACTGAATCAGGGCTGAGTTTCAGGAGTAAAACCTGTGAGGTAGGTGTGTTTTCCATCTGCACCCTGCTTCATGGCTTTGGCAGGGGCTCGGAGAGTGCTGGAGGAGGAAGGTGACTCTGCAGATGAAGGCTCCAGAGACATTCAGGTGCTTGAGGCAGAGCAGAAGCCTATGATGAGTCTGAGCTGTCAGAATTTAGTGACTGGAAACTCAAACCCCTTAGATGTGCTAGAACCAAGCTGGCTGGTGTGCTGCAGTGGGAGGTGGGTGTGTATCTCTGGCAGTGTCCTTCCCCTACATTGCAGTTCAGATCCCCAGACTGCTGCTGGTCTGTGTAAGTTTTATGGCTCAATATGTTGAAAATGCTTATGTGTATGTGGGGAGCAGTCCTTTTAAAGACTTCCTGGAACTTCTTATTGACCTCTTCCCTGCTGGAAAAGGGACTCCTGTTGTCTGAGCTGTCTGGCATGCAGTTTCAAGGCATGGTGTTCCAATCCAGCAACTGTTCCTATAAAGGCTGCATCAGTCTGGTTTCTGGAATATCCTGTGCTTTCCAAGGGTGAAGATGTGTATTCCTCTAAATTTGGGGATGCTTTCCTACCCGAGTCCTTCAGGTAGGTGGAGATCTGCTTTCCACTAAGCAGATGGTAGCTTAGTGGATGGTAGCTAAGCAGTAAGCAGCTTTCCACTAGGGATGGTAGATGGAGGGAGTTTGCAGTGTTTGGGGGCTGTGTGAATCTCTTGCCCCAACTTACTGCTGTTCCTAAAGAATAAGGTAAGAGTTAGCCAGGTGCAGAGTGGAGGTGTTGGTTTGGATCATTAGGTGGAGGATGGTGTTTGTTACCAGGTGTTCCCACCACAGGGAAAGAAAATGTGGGTAAGAACATGAAGTTCATATTGGTTGCCAAAACTATGCAGGCCTTTGCTTATCTTATTTTGTTAATGAGCAATGCAGCTTCTCTGTCTGCCTGGGTACTTTGCCCTGCAGGCCTCTAACTAGCACTGGC